TGTCATGTATATCTAAAATGAATAAAAAGAAAATATAATTAACATAAAAAAACAAGATAATTTCCAAATGGAACTCATTTCTGTTTTTAAACCAGAAAATCTTGAGGCATAAATTCTTAAACGATCATTATAAAATCAGTTAATTATTGGACAGGAGAGAAGCATCTATTCAGGACAAAGTACTGCACTCATGGTCATCTGAATCAATGATCTTTCAAATTGAAAGCTCATGATTTTGTGGTCAAGTTTTATCTTGGAAAAAGATGACTTTTTCATTTCTTTCCTATGATAAATGACTATGAGTCTAAAACAATTAAGTGGCCTCTTTATTTTAAATGACATAATAATACCTTTATTATATTATTAATGTAATACCTTTATTATTAATATAATACCTTTATGCAGAGTCCTGATGTTTTTCATATTTGTTTTAATTAGTAAATGTGAGATGTAAAAAACACCCCCAAGTTTTGCCTTTTGAATATTGATGAATAATTCTTTATCTGTTATAAAATATTCTTTATCTGCTCATAAAAATCTAAATTCTTTTTTTTTTTAATATATTTTTTTTAGATGTTGATGGACCTTTATGCTAGGCAAGTGCTCTACCACTGAGCCACAACCCCAGCCTATAAAATCTAAATTCTTTCCCATTAGTTTAATTTTTTTTTTAAATGCTAGCCTTTTTAGAAGAATTGGAAAAAAAAAAAAAAAAAAGAATCAAATGCCATGCCTGCATTCAGTTTAATTGGATTTGGGATACTGTTTTGTGATTTAAATTAATATGGAAGTTATTTATATAGTACATTTGTCAGTTTTTAAAGACTTTGTTTCTTCATTAGACTTTGTTTATTGTTTTTTTATTAATTTTTATACAAATCTATTTAGACTATAAATTTCTTGATATAAGTAAACACCAATCGAATTCTTATCAAATTCTTTAGTTCTTTGCAATCAAGCTTTACTCAGTTTTTTTTCCCCCTTAAATCACAGATAACATTCAGGAAGAATATGGTTGCAGCTGAAATTGCTGGGAAATTCAGTACTTTTCAATTAAATTATTTAAAAAGTTCTTCATTGATGGAAACCAGTTACATTTTGAATGCATTATTTCTAATGATATTTCTGTGGTTTTTAACTTTTTAATGAATTTCACATAGGGCAAGTGGTAATTTGTATATAAAGAACTTGGTAAAAGAATTTGCTTAATGTAAATATAAATAGTCACAATTAGTATAGACCCATCAATATATTTTTGATAATCTTTCATGTATGGTAAAAGTTTAAGTTGCAAATTGATATTCTGATATACAACTCAAAGTTTTGAGAATCAATGTGAGAAAACAGGTTTTTAGACTTTCTTAAAATGCTTTGTTAAAATTTTAGGGCAAAATTTTTTTGACATTATTGTTTGACTTTGCACTCTTTCATAATAATGTTTTAGAAAATATGCATAATCAAAATTAATATGTGTAGTCTCTGTTAACACAGAAAATATATGTCTTAAAGCTTCATGTATGCCTGTTTTGACCCAAATTTGTAGAAGAATCATGTGTTGTCTCCCTGTCTTTGTTCATTTACAGCTAAAGTGACTTTGTTATTAAAGTATATGCAAATATGGAATCTTGTGTACTTGGTGGGTTTATTTCTTTCCTCAATCCCTTTTTTTGTTTGTTTATGGTAAGGGAGAGAGCATTGGCCTGTGAGATATGATTGCAAATTACAGACACAGATGATATTCAACCATATGTCACCATTTTGAATGATGGAGCTGATACCAGATTTTCAGTAAAACAATAGTTTTTCAAAATTATATGCAAGAAAGATTTAGAAACAAAGGGATCATTTCACATACTGGAGTTTATAAGTCAGGCTATATAGGACAACAGTGTGGGTTCTGGAGTCTAATGCCTGGCCATGCCCTTATTAACTTTGAGATCCTGGGCAAGACCTTAACCTTCTATGCCTTTCTTTTTCTCATCTATAAAATAGGGATGAGAGTAGTATCAGCTTCATTCTCCAGTTCCATGTGAAATGCTCATATCAGCGCTTAGTGTGTGGTAAGGTACTCGATGTATGTTAACTGCAGGGCTGCCATATTGTGTAGCTCCCTGGACCTTACAGTACACAGTCTACATGGCCATGTGCCACAGCTCTGGTTAGCTGCCATTGTTACTACCATTGCTATTATCCCTTTACTGTTCTCTAGTAGGCTAGTTCTTACTATTCTCAATTATAACGAGTGACTTTATTTTTGCTCAATTATAATGAGTGACTTTATTTTTGCATCTTCAGTAGTGACAAATACTCACTACAATTAATTGTATTTAAAGGTTAGTAAAGATAAATTTTAGTCAAAATGCAGAAACAATAATAAATCAATGCATATATGATATGCATTTTTAAAAATATACTGGATAATGAACTGACAGTGATCAATAAATTCCATTACTGAAAAAAAAAGAAAAAAGCCTGTGCATTATCTTTCTTTTTTCACCCTGTTAAAAACAGAGTCATATTTTAATTGTTTTCACAATAACTATACTTCACATCCCACTCTATGGACCTAATTGTACTGTGCAAAATTGAGAAACTCAGACCTGGGTGGGATTTCTCATCACCATCTGGGAGAAAGATCCAGTTTTACTGGGAGTAAATAAACATTTTAATAATCGAACACTATTTTGACTTATAATAGGTGATTTTGTTTTGCTTTTTTAAGAGATTTTTTTTTTTTTAAGCATTTTCAGTTTGGTCTAAATCACGGTTAAAAGGAATCTCTGAAAGGGAAAGAGTGTCATCAATCCATGTGATCCAGTTAAGCAGATGCATTTAAATACAGTACTTTCCACCTAACTATAGGGCTAGTGATCTAGAAATCCTACCAGTTTAAGACCTTTTATTTATTTGCAAATACTTGTTGAGTTCTTATTACCAAGAACTGTGCAACAACTTCAAAAAATTGAGTTGAGGGAACCAGGTTTTTTAACAAACCTATGCAGAGTCCTGATGTTTTTCATATTTGCTTTAATTAGTAAATGTGAGATGTAAAAAAATCATCACCCCAACCCCCGAGCCTTTTCCACTGAGCTACATTCCCAGGCTTCATTTTTTTTCATGCATCCCAGACATGCTAGAAACATCAGAATCTTCCCATAATTAAAACATGTTTGTCATTTCTGAAGGTAATATGCATGATAATTTCTTTTCCTCATTTCTCCACCTAAGGGTTTGGTCCACCCCACTCCTGATTTTATGGTCCAGGAAATGTGCTGTTTTAAACATTTGGGGTAGAAAACTTTAGGTAGCATTTAATGTAGTTGGTGTAGCTAGCTGAATTGGTCATTTTGAAGTGTTATTTGTTGTTGTTATTGTTTTTTATTTGGTACACGGGATTGAATCCAGGGGCACTTAACCACTTAGCCACATCCCCAGCCCTTTTTTATATTTCATTTAGAGACAGGGTCTCACTGAGTTGCTTAGAACTTCCATAAGTGGCTGAGGCAGGCTTTGAACTTGTGAGTTTCCTGCCTCAGCCTCCAAAGCTGCTGGGATTACAGAACTGGGTCATTTTCAAGTTTTGATTGCAGTGTACACAATTACCATTCCTCACACCATCAGAGGGAGTTCTAGTGTAAGCTTCCAGCCCCCTGGTGCACATTTTTCTCCTCCAGAGATCACAGCATGTAGATGTAAATCCTGAGCTAATGTTTCTTAACTTCCTTCTCTTTTCTGTATCCTACTATTCTTCCCTCTTCTTAAGTGCAAATAACATTTGGTTAATTCAAACCCCAAATCTTATATTCAAGAAGCAGGTAATGAACAATAAGAGTTTTTATGTAGGAGAGTCAGAGGCAGAAGTGTTGCTGAACAAGAACCCTCTGCATCCTACTGACATCTGTTAACTGCTCAGTTAATTGTAGAATATCCTGGAGATCAGAGTTGATTTTGAGATCAGGAGCCAGGTTTCTTGCTGCCACTCAACGATGTTAATGTCCAAGGATCTGTTTCTCTCAATAAAGCCTGTTGAAGATAAACTGCATGCTAAGGCTACACTCAATTTGATTAACATTTCCTGAGTACCTATTGTGTGCCACGCATTGTTTAAAGGAAAATAACTAGTACTAAAGGAGCTCATTCCATAGGTGATACAGCAGTCTGAAAGAACAGAACTGGGCACAGTGTGGCAATCAGATTATCCACCTGGGAAACCATGTGTTCCTGACTCAGCCTGCATTCAAACAGAACAACTAGGCCAGAGTCAGGGCACTATCCTTGGTAGCACTCAACTCTAATGGTGATTAATCGTGTTATTAGTCGTTAATGTCTTTATATTCCGTTAGGATACATTTTATTTCCCCTTGTGTACCACAGTCTTCTCATTGCTGTTTCACATGCTTGGCACTTAATAGGCACACCATAAATATATTTTATTGGATGCATATGAGAATTGGTGAAGACGCTGGGCCTGGCTTTAAGAAAAAATTAATGTGTTAGGTGTATGAGGCTGGGCTTCACAAGTAATCGATGCAGGTCATCAGAAAAGGAGAGCGTTTTGGAGAAGGCATCAGGCAGGGGAAAAGGGATGGATGACTTTTCAGGACACAGGGTCACCAACTGCTGGGATAGGGTGAGAGCTGGGGGGCGTTTTGGAGAAGTTTGCGTTTTGTGGGGTTTTTTTTAAACATCCTGAGAATTCTGAATGGCTGTATCTTAAAAACAGTTTTTTAATTCTACCTTTTTTCTTATGGGTCAGTGACGATCACTAAGGAGCAAAGTGACTGGAATTTCAAGTTTCTTAAAATGGCTGGGAAGGAAAGGGTATGAAGATGCCACATGCAATCTCTGCGGCTATAGGCACACTTCCCTGAAAAGCTGGTTCCCACGCCGGCTCCTCCACCTCGCTGCCCTTTGCGGCGTGGGGGAGGAGTCTTAGCCTGTGTCCCGCGCTCTGATTGGCTGCATCGGGCCGTGGCTACAGGCGAACCAGTTTCCCGAGCTCTGATTGGCCACGGGCAAAGGGGCCAGGCGGCTTGATTAGCGCTGCTTGCCTGGAGGTGCTTGGGACCCTGGACCTGGGATCCTGGCCGCAAGCCTCAGGAAGTCCGGAAAACCGCAGATCTCAGGTTGGCTGGGGAGGGAGCAAGGACGGGGCCAGGGACGCGCAGAATCCCAGTACCTTGCTTGGAGTGGACGCTGACAGGTGAGTTGCCCCTTCTTACAGCCCCCGGGGTGACCCTCACACCAGCCGGGTGGCTGGGCGCCTACCGCGGAACCCCCTGCCTGGCTTGGGCCTAGGCCCGGCGCCGCAAAACTGCTCTGGAAAAGGAGGGCCCCAGTGTGAGAGGAGGCCCTCTTGTGCTTTCATTTTTCCTTGTATGTAAACATCGGGATTGATTTGGAACTGTCAGCAGGTTATGTTATAAAAGTAGAACTTAATTGAAAATAGTGTTGTTATAGAGGGGACTATATTATAAGTTTTATAGATTTCACTGCTCAAAACTGGTTAGGAAGCATGAAACATCAGAGAATTGTCCACCAAAACCATACGTAGGGCACAGGGCTGAGAGGGGTACTCCCACAGTTTGTTGGGTTTGAATTCAAGGTCAGCGTTATTAGCCTAGGAACCTTGAGCAGGCTGCTTTACCTGCACGGGTTTCATTTTTTAAATTGGTTGTATTGACGATTTAATCAGTATATGTGCAAATCTTTTAAATATTCTAAGGTGTGCAGATCTTTTAAATATTTAATCTTCTCCATCACCAGGAAGCACCCCATTTTCCTTTGCCCAAAACCAAGGCACATATTACTCAAGTCACACGACCAGGAATTAATCCCAGGCAGTTTGACTCCAAGAACTCACAATTTTACCTTCTACATTAAGTTGCCTTATGAACTTGACTTGTTCATTCCATTTCAATTGAACCAACTTCTGTAAATTTAGGTTTTTCATGGCTGAGCCACAGGGTAGTTATGAATCCTGCAAAATGTTGTAGGTCTGAATGGTTTTTGTGTTGTGTTTTTTGTTGTTGTTTTTCTGGAGAGTTTGTGACACTCAAATTCTCAGATGGTATGTGATCCCAAGAAAAGCATGAACAAGTGTTGTTTTAGCAGAAGAGTTAGTGCCTAGCATGAAACCTGATGAACAGCTTGAATTTAGACAAACAAACTTACTCTTTGAATGAATGAAGAACTCACAAGAGTATGACAAGTGCTACATTAAGGTCAAGAGCAGGGTACTGAGGGAGAGCACACAGGAGGGCCCAGGAATGCCTCCTACAGTCAACAATGGTAGCATGTGAAAGGTAGGGGGACAATCCATTGGAACATGGTGGTGAGCAGTCTTGGCCCTTCTGAGGTATACAAACAGTGCATGAACAGCTGCAGCTATGATAAGTAGAGCAGAACTGCAGTCATGGCACATAAAAGCCGATAAGGGGAACAGCAGGCGTCATCTATTCCAAAGGTCAGGGTAGTTTCCTTGAGAAAATGACACTTAGACCTAGGAGTTATTGGACAAGCATTTTGAGCACATAATAGCCAACAGCCTTTGAAAACTGTGCAGTGGGGACAGGGAGAGCACCAGGGATGGAGAGGAAGTGGGTGTGGTGGGTGTGGGAGAGAGAAGTGAGGATTCAGGGGGTGGCGGAGCCTTGTGGACTGTGGTAAAGCATTTCTATTTTGTCTTTATCCTGAAGTGCCATCGAAAAGTTGTGCATGGAAATGACAAGAAAAGCTGGAGAGAAGCCCAAATGGATTAACTGAAGCCCTAGGGAGACACTAAAAGGTAAGAGAAGGTTGAGAAGCAAACCTTGAATATGAGCCTACAAGGAGACGAGAAGGGGTGGCATCTGGTGTGGGAAGGAGAACCAGGGGAGTCGAGTGACCTAGAAGGCAAATGAGAGAATGTTTTGAGGGAAAAGATAAACTGTGCTGAAACCTGCACAGAGATCAAGAGAGAGAGGCTGTGCAGCTACTTATGGGTCCAATCACATGGAAGTTGTCTTTATTGAGAGCTAAATAAGTAGAAGAGGAAGTAGAGGATCTGCAAGAATTAGCTGGAGGAAAGGAAAGGTGGGATGTGCTCTCCGGGAGCAGTGAGAAGGGCAGAGGGTGCGCTGCTGCGGGGGGTGAACGAGCACTCCGCTTTAAGTGCCTCGCTTCATCGCACTGCATAGGAGCCGGGGGTTTGTGTTTGTTTCTGGTTTTTTTTTGTTGTTTGTTCATTTTTTTTCCTTTCATAAATTGAAGGTTTGTGACAACCTTTCTTCAAGCAGCAAGTCTGTTTGCTCCATTTTTCTGATAGCATGTGTTTACTCCCTGTGTCTGTGTCACATTTTGGTAATTCTTGCAACATTTCAAACTTTTTTATTTTATATGTCATGGTGATCTGTAATTAGTGATCTTTGACACTGCTGTTGTGACTGTTTGTCATGGTGATCTGTAATTAGTGATCTTTGACACTGCTGTTGTGACTGTTTGGGGGTGCCATGAACTCTAACACCGTAAAGATGGCAAATTTAATAAACACTTTTTCTGATTGTTCCATCAACCTTCTGAAAAGGAATCCCCATTCCCTGTGTCTGTCTCTCTCCTCAAGCTTCCTCTTTCTCTGAGATACTTCAGTATTGAATAGGCCAATTAATAACCCTAAAATGTCCCCCAGGTGTTCAGTGAAAGGAAGAACTGCATGTCTCTCACTTTTTAAATCAAAAGCGATAAATAACTAAGCTTAGTGAGGAAGGTATGTCAAAGGCTAAGGCAGGCCAAAGCCAGGCCTCTTGTGCCAGTTAGCCCAGTTGTGAGTGCAAAGGACAAGTTCTTGAAGGAAACTGAAGGAGCTGCTCCAGTGAACACATGAACAGTGAGCAAAACAGCCTTTCTACTGATAGGAAAACAATTTCAGAAGTCTGAAGAGAAGGTCAAACCAGCCAAAAAGACTCTTAAACCAAAGCCTCATCCAGACCAAAGCCTTAACTCTTCAATTCTGTGAAAACTGAGGATTAAGGAAGCTGTAGAAGAAAACTTTGTAGGTAGCAGAAATTGGCTCATGGGGTCAGGAAAGAAGTCATCTTTATAACAGGAAAGTACAAGGAGAAGCAGCCAGTGCTGACGGGAAGCTGTAGCAAGTTAGCCAGAAGATCTGGCTAAGTAACTGATGCAGGTGGTTACACTACACAAAATATTTTCAGTGTAGATGGAACAGCCTTATAGACTATATACCTTCTAGGACTTTCATAAATGAGAAGTCAGTCCCTGGCTGCAGAGGGCAGGCTGACTCTTATTGGGGGCTGATGAACTTTATGTTTAAGTTGAAGACAGTGCTCATTTACCACTTTGAAAATCCCAAAGTCCTCAAGAATTAGACTAAATCTGCCCTGCCCATCTTGTATAAATGAACAACAAAGCCCAGATGACAGCTCTTCTGTTTATAGGATGGCTTGCTGAATATTTTAAGCTCAATATTGAGACCTGCTCAGAAAAAAAAAAAAAAAAAAGATTCCCTTCAAAAATTACTATTCACTAACAATGCACCTGGTCACCTAAGAGCTCTGATGGAGCAAGATTGTTATATTTTTATGCCTACTAACACATGATCCATTCAGAAGCCCATGAATCAAGGAGTAATTTTTACTTCCAAATATCACATTTCATGAGGCTATCACTGCCATAGTGATTCCCCTATGGATGTGGGCAGAGTTAATTGAAAAACCTTCTGAAAAGGATGCACCATTCTAGACGCCATTAAGAACATTCACAAATCATGGGAGGAAGTCAAAGTATCAACATTAAAAGGAGCTGAAAATGAAATGTGGAAGAGGTTGGTTTCAACCCTTGTGGGTGACTTTTAAGTGTTCAGGACTTAACGGGAGGAAGTAAGTGCAGTATGGTAGAAATAACAAGAGGTGTAGAATGGGAAATGGAACCTGACATTGTGACTGATTTGTTCAATGACTTGATAAAGCTTTAAAGATAAGGAATTGCCTCTTTTGACTGAGATGGGAAAGTGGTTTCTTGAGACTGAACCTGTTCCTGGTGAAGACACTGTGGACACTGTTGAAAGGACAACAAAGGAGTAAGGATGCACACACATGTAGTTGGTAAAGCAGTGCAGGGTTTGAGAAGAAACAGTTCTGTGGGTGAAATGCTATCAAACAGCATTGTGTGCTACGGAGAAATCTTTTATGAAAGGGTCAGTCAGTCAGTGCAGCAAACTTCATTGTGGTCTTATTGTAAGAAATGGACAAAGTCACCCCAACTTTCACTGCCATCCTGAGTCAGCAGCCAGCAGCATCCCAGAGGCAAGATCCTCCATCAACAAAAAGATTACAGCTTGCTGAACTCAGGCAATTGTTAATATTTTTTAGCAATAAGGTATTTTTAAACTAAGGTACATAATTTTTTAGAAGTAATGGTATTGCACACTTAAGACTACAGTGTAGTGTAAACATAACTTCTTTATGTGCTAGGAAACCAAAAGTGTAACTCATTTTATTGTGACATTTGCTTCATACCTTCAATAAATACCTTGATTGAGAAATAAAGTCTTTGGAGTTCTGAAGCCATAGGAGTTGGGATCAGCACAGAAGTGGAAATGGAAGGGACTTGGTGTAGATTTGTTTGGTGTGGTGAGTTGTTCTTCTTTCTTTGTACAATTAAGAGTCAAGGGCATTATTTGAGATTGGAGAACAGAGATAAACGGAGACTAGGGGTTAGAGATCTGAGATTGTTAGTGGGAGGAGTAGAAGAATGAATTGACCAGAGATTGTTTTAGGCTGGTCTAGCAGAGGAGCCAAGTATGAGACAAAGGCCAGAACTGTTGAGCCCCTGGCCCATTCAGGGGACTGAAAAACAGGAGGATGGAGAGGGAGACCATCTAAAAACAAAAGCTACATTTGATATATCAGAAATCATGGGAAATGAAAAAAAAATTGTTCCAAAAATGCTTGGAGATAGCTAAACTATTGATATTCAGATTCTCAGTTAACATACAGAAATTTCAAATGAACTTTTGGAGCTAACTTTTCAAACTCAAACAGAAATATAAATGAATTTTTATCTGTTTATCTAATGCATAAAAGCAGCAGGAATAATATTATTTAAAATTAAGTGCTATGTTCCAACATTTGCTATAACATGGATGAACTTTGAAAACATATGGTAAGCAAAATAAATCAAACACAAAGACAGTAAATTTAACAACATCACTTTTCAAATGTTTACACATATCCTCTCCAGAAATTCTGTTTCTAGGAATTCATACTAAAGGAAAAACATATAAAATGTGCAAAGATATTCAGCATATAGTAAAACTACAAATAACCTAAGTGCTCAATATTAGGAATGAATTATAAATAATAATAAATTCATCCCATATATCATGCACTCATTTTAAATGTTTACAGACTGTTTTTAATATCACAGTGAAATACTTAACAGCAGGTAAAATTAAAGCAGAAAATAAATCATATATATAATAGTTAATTATAGCGTTTGTGCTTTTCATTTTTACAGTCCAGCATTTGCTCAGTAGAGAAAAAGCAAAATATCAAGATAACTAATTTTTCTGACAACTCACCTGAACACATCCTAGATCACCTTGGAGTAAACAAAATGCAAGAGTTTTTCTCTTAGCCTCCTTTGGCAGGAGCCTCTCCATGGGAGCACCTTTCATGGTCACTGTGGCTCCAGTGTTTAGGATCTATCACTCTGAACAGTGTAACCCTCAGACCAGGCCAATGCTTCATCCAGTGCTTAGCAGACAACAGGATCTGTTCAAACCCTTGAAGAACCCTGGCTGTATTGGACTGGCCAGGGGCTTCTGAATCTGCAATTTTCACTTTATGTGCTGAATCCAGGACATAATGCCCAGGTGCCAGACAGCCTTGTTTCATATATTTGAAGAATTATAATAAAGGGAGAGAAATTATAGGAAAAAAAAGTGGACAGAGATGTCAAAATATGAACAGTTGTCTCTTAAGTAATGGGATCATGAGACTTTTCTGACTTTTCAGAATGTGGCAACTTGTGCAGAGTGTGTATTGATTTTATACAGTTATTTTGGAAACCTGACGCATTTAAAGTACAGTTTTCAGTTATCCTTTATAAATAATGTACTTCTGTCTAAACATTTAAAGTCATATTAGTATAAGACTTTGGCTCCAGAAATTTCTAGTAATGGCTACCATGTATTAAGTACTTAATATGTACCAGTCACTGTGCAAAGTAGTTGATGTGCGTTTTAACCTTACCGGTTTCCCTGTGATGTTTAGATGCTGTTTTTTCCACATTACAGTCACCACTATTGTTATTAATACTCATAGAGCATGAAGCACTGCTCAAACCATTACTGTGGTTTGTGCTAAATGACCACGATCGCTCCCTAAGTTAGAGCCAGGACTAGGTACGGGCAGTTGACTGCAGAACCTCAAAGGTGGGGCCAAAACTAGCAGGGTCTCATGAGCAGGGAGTGGGAAGGCAGGCCCCAGCCCTGTGCTTACTATGCTGTACCTCCACCTTCTGTTAAAATTTCTTAGAATTTTTAAAAAAAACACTTCATTGTTTTCATCTTGGCTAATAGCACTAGGAATTATCGGGGTGGGGACTGAACCACCAAAAGTAAAACAAAAGCTACACCTATAGTTGTTTTAGTCTCCATAGGTACTAACAGTGAGCTGTTATTACAAATGGCAAATGAAAATGGAAACCTTCTTATTTTTCCTTATAGAATAATCATTTATTTGGATTTGTTATGATAACCTTGAAGGTCAGGAGTCCTCAGCAGATAGGGCAGGGATTAGAAACAGCTGTTTTCAAGCTTTCTCTTCAAACCTACCAATACTCCTGGAAGCTGCAAACCAGTCAAGTAGCCCAGTACAACACGCTCTCGTGGCAGGACTGAGATACTCAGGAACACTCTCAGAACCAGGTGTGTTTTCATTACTACAGACAAAAGAAACAGTGGTGAAGGAGTTAAAGAATAGACCACACTTGGAAGTACTGGCTGTTTTGAATTAAAGACACTTGACAAACAGCAGGAGCTGTTTGACCTCTTTTCTGTTTCTTAAAAGCAGATGATCCTCTCATGTGAAAGGCACCCTCCCTCCACCAAGAGGAACTGGCATCCTTATCCTCAGATGGGAAGTGGAGACTGAAAGGATTCTCTGCAGATCTTATTAAGATAACTCTTTAAATCCCCTCACACAATTTGGTTACCGTTTCTTCATAGTGTACTATTCTTTGCCCAGTTTAGTATAACTAACTCTATACTATTTCTTGGGGTCTTATGATGAATCCCATGCAATGTATAAAACTTGTATTAAATCAATCTCTATTGTTTTCTCCAGTTAATCTATTTTATGTCAGTTTAATTCTTGGGCCCAGCGAGACCCTAAGGAGATGGAGGTGGAGTGCTGCCAACTGGCAGTGGCAAAGGCTGCAGTATATCAGATGCACTGTAGCCATCTCATGCTACCCAAAAGCATCCAGTGGGAATAGCTGGCAAGACTGGTTTAAAATGTGGCCACCATTCCACAGCTGGCAGTTTCTCCTGGCCCCACTAAGGCAGTCATGTGGCATTTCTCATTTTCCTGGCCAAGATTTATTTTAATTCTGGATTTATAAAAGAAATTTCATTCACATGATTCTAATAAAACAAGCATACATTTATTAACTAATTTAAAATAAACTGACTTATTTTGTATGGTAGCTGTTCAACAAAAATATTTACTCTAAAATACAAAATTAGAAATGACTCTTTCCTAAGAGTCATTTGGATTTGTTATGATAAGTCAACTGGAAAAATAGAAAACATTTTAGTGTGTGTGTGTGTGTGTGTGTGTTTGTGTGTGTCTGTGTCTGTAATATGTGTCTCCTACAAGAAAACAACAGTTGTAGGAAGGAAAATTTGTGTGGGGGGAAAAAAATTTGAGGCCCAGGAGTTTGAATTTTGGAGTATGATTGCATCTTCCTGAAAGAACACAGCCTGCAGGGCTGGGATCTTACCACCTCTTGTGGTCTTGATATGGGTGATCTGCAAAGCAGAAGTAACTACTTCACAAGGTTGTAATAAATCTCAGACAGACAATGTAGAAAGATGTTCATCTAAAAGAATATTTAAATGTTCCACGAGTAATTTTCCTAATGTAAAACCATTTTATTTCTACACTTACTACTTAGAACTAACCTGTTAGTGTCTATGTTCTAAAAGTCAACACTTCTTACATTAAAAACCTCTATCTTCTTTCTTATAGGTGCACTGGCTGCATTCTGAGTCCCAGAACTGTGGGAAGTAGCCACTGGATTACAGGCATGTTGTGGAAGTTGCTGGTGAGATCGCAGCCTTGCAGGCTGTGTTTTTTCAGAAAGATGCAATCAACTCCAAAATACAAACCCTTTCTAGCATACTTTACAACAGACAGGCAGTCAAACAAAGAAAATAAAAGAACAGTGGAAACGCTCTATAAATTTTCAGTTGACATTAGGAAAATTCGAAGTTTAAAAGGATGGGTACTTCTGGAGGATGAAACCTATGTTGAAGAAGTTGCAAATATTTTACAAGAACTAGGTGCTGATGAGGCTGTAATAGCCAGTATTTTGGAACGCTGCCCAGAAGCAATTGTCTGTAGTCCAGCTGCTATTGACACCCAGAGAAAACTCTGGCAGTTGGTCTGCAAAAACGAGGAAGAGTTAATCAAGTTAATAGAGCAGTTTCCAGAATCTTTCTTTATTGTTAAGAACCAGGAGAACCTAAAGCTCAATGTTCAGTTCTTTCAAGAGCTGGGACTCAAGAATGTAGTCATTAGTAGATTTCTGACAACTGCATCCAATATTTTTCATAATCCTGTTGAGAATAATAAGGAAACGATAAAGCTCCTCCAAGAGAGTTACCTAAATGTAGGTGGCTCTGAGGCCAATATGAAAGTCTGGCTACTAAAATTATTAAGCCAAAATCCATTTATTTTGTTAAGGTCTCCTACAACTATAAAGGAAACACTAGAATTTCTCCAGAAGCAAGGCTTTACAAACTTTGAAATTCTTCAATTTCTGTCCAAACTCAAAGGATTTCTTTTTCAACTTTGTCCAAGAGATATCCAGAACAGTATTTCCTTCTCTAAAAATGCTTTTGAATGCACAGATCGTGACCTGAAGCAATTAGTTTTGAAATGTCCTGCTCTTTTATATTATTCTGTTCCAGTTTTAGAAGAGAGAATTCAGGGATTATTGAAAGAAGGAATTTCCATAGCTCAAATAAGAGAGACACCAATGGTTCTCGAATTAACGCCACAGATAGTTCAGTACAGAATAAGGAAACTAAATTCTTTAGGCTACAGAATAAAGGACGGACACCTAGCAAATCTAAATGGAACAAAAAAAGAGTTTGAAGCTAACTTTGGCAAAATTCAAGCCAAAAAAGAGAGGCCATTATTTAACCCCGTGGCACCATTAAATGTTGAAGAATGACTTACTGACTGATGTTATTTCTTCTTAACAATAAAGATGAAACAGATTCTCAGATACTTAAGCAATTCAGGCAGTTAATAGGCACCAGTAATTTTAAGGACCTAGCTTCTGAGGTGTTATCTCTGAATAGATGATCTGTGACTCATTTGCGTATGTTAAAATACAGACTGGTTGTGGTGGCACATCCCTATAATCCCAGAGATTCAGGTAGCTAAAGCAGGAGGGCCCCAAATTTAAGGTCAGCAACATAGGTCCTAAGCAATTCAATGGGACCTTGTCTCAAAAAATAAAGATGGCTGGGGATGTAGCCTTGTTGTAAAAGCCCTCTGGGCTCAATCCCTAGTACAGAAAAACCCCAAAATACAAACTGCACTTTTTACAAAGTTGGTAATTCATTGTCCTTGAACTATTATTCCAAAAGCTCTTGTTCTATTCAATGGCACATCAGTTTGATAATTTATAAGTGAATCATTTCTAAAAAATTGACAAGTACACTCCCTTAATTCAAAATATGGGAACATTTACTCATGTTTTATTGAAGATGTAGATAGTCTTCCTTATTACCAGCTCTGAAACATCACTTTGCTTTTACGTGAATTGTAGCTTAGTGTTAGTGAAGCATTAGCAAGCTTCTGACACATTTTTTTTTTTTTTTGAGAACTTGTGTTTGGAATAAATACTTTTGAGAACCAAGTATTACTAATCCAAAAATAGTACAAAAGCCTTCCTTTGTGGCCTTTTTGAAACCAATCAACCATTATCTCTCATGAAGCACTTATGTGCATTCAGTATTTTCCTCATTTTACAGAGGAGGAAACAAACTTAGAGATGTTACTCAGCTGCCAAGTAGGAGAGCCCAGATTTATTCAGATCTGGCTTCTGTTCAAACCTTATGAATAGAAAGGATCTCATTCTAAGTGTGAAGGGGAACACTTGCATAGTTTTGTCCTGGCATTAATCAGTAATATGTTCTCTTTCTTGCACACTCTCTGGTGCTCTCTCGAAAATATCTCAGTTTAGATACACCAATCAGTTGGTTTAGATACATCTAACCCGTTGATTATGTCAATTTTGAGATGCCTATTAAACATTCTAGCAGGGATGTCAAATGTGCAAATGACTAAGTCTGGAGTTGTCAAAACTGGGGATACACATTTGAGGATCATTTGCATACTGTGGTATTTAAAGCCATGGGTCTAGATGAGATTGTCTGGAATGTAGATTTGGAATAGGACAGCTGGCTGAGCATGGGAAAAGTTGATCAGAGGAAGAAAAGAAGACATGGTCTGTAACAATTCCAATGGGAGGTCAACTATGGTAGAGAATGACTAGCAGGTTTGCAAAAAGGAAAGTATTGATTAACCCTGTGAAGAGTGTTTCTGGTGTAATGAAGAAGGTGAGAAGGCCAACTGGAGTGGATTGAAAAGAGAATGGGAGACAAGGGAAAACATTTTAAATGAAGTTTCAAGATTAATTTTTTTTTTTAAAGAACATGTTTATATGCTGAAGGGTATAACCCAAGAGACACAAATAAGAGATTGAAAACTGCAAGATTAATAGCCTTGAGGAAGGAAGGTAGATTTTCTTTGGTTAAGAGCAGAGATTCTGGTCCCAGTCCACAGAGCCTGGGATAGACGCAGGCAGGTTGATGGGAGCCCGTGGAATGAAAAGCAGGGGAGGGGCTGTCTAGTTGCCTCTTTGCAAAGGACAGTAGAATCAGGGAGGAAACAAGTGGGAGGTTGGAAATAGAGGAAGTCATTTGAGGGGAAAGTGAACACACAATGGAAGGGGAGGATAACTGGACAAAACTTCAATAGCCCACGTGTCCTTTCCGGACACTGATTTAAAAAGAAACTAGTCAGTATATAAGTTAAAATTTTAGGTCCTCGGGTCCAGGCACAGGGAACCAGAAGCAGTTAGAAAATACAACTATAGCTTATTCCAAATTTGAAGATTACCATTTTTTAAAAAACAGATCCACATTTATGGTCAGTCCAGCAATTATACTGACTTTATTTTCCCTTAGGCCAAATTCCATTCCATTGTTTGTTTGGCCTCTGAAATAGTTTTGCTTTGCCTTTTCTCCATTCTTACATTCTCCTATCTCCATATGAAATAAAACTTTTTAAAATTGAAAATCTACAGCATGGCAAGGGGAGCTTTTCTTGCATGAAACACTAGTCAATTTCATTTCCTCGTTGAGAAAAGGTTCTAATAACAAAATTAAATTGCCTTCAATTTATTTATGATTACATTAAACTTATTTCTACAGCAAAATAAAATTTGTTGCCACAGTAAATATGATCACCTGGCATTACTCCAGTAAGCTTCCTGATAAATCAAACATACAGCCTACATTGAATATCAACACCAGAAGGAAAGACTGGCTACTGAACAGGCCCATTTGTTTCTGGACCTAAGCTGGAGAAGTTGTGACTGACACTAATTCAAAATCAATACAGGAAATTCAACTAACAATGTGAAAGCCAGTTCTGCATTTGTAAAAAAGGTTTTGAAGATGTTTCTGGCCTAAACCTTATGCTGATTAAATGATGTAGGCTAGGACCTGGCAGGAAAGCAGATGCCCAATAAGTAAGTAGTTTCCTACCTTCCTCCCCATTGCTTCTCATTTCTGCCCACTGAGTGGTCTAAGAGGTGTTCCCTACTTTATAACTCCTTCCCCAGTTTCAGACTTCAGTGTGCACAGTAACCTTCAGAGGTTGTTAAAATGCAGTTCTGGGCTCTATCCTGCAGAGATTTGGCAAACTGAGGTAAAACCTAGAAATCTGCATTTTTAATCTATTACGGGTGTTTAAAATATATTTCACTGTTATGTTGGAATGTTATGTTTGTACATTATTATCACAAAAATTAAAAACTGGATATAGCACTTTCTAAACTGCTATGTAAGTTTTAAGATTATCCTGTATTTAAATTTCCTTTATTTCTCCATCTTTATGAAACATTTCACCTTTTGCAGATCATAGTGCTTTATTAACAAGTTCATGTTTGTTTCCCATTCTTTAATACAAAAAAATTAATCATCAATTATTTTCACTTGACATTTTGCTAAGTACAGGATTCATGTCAACATTATTAGATCAGTCATTCAAGTGGGTCACACAAGTTTATCTTCATTGTGCCAAATACCCACTCAAAAAATAAGCTGAGTAAGATACCTCCAGGTGTATATAAAACGATTGCAGTTTCTTGAAGTCAACGTCCTGTTTAACAGGTCAAATTGCTAGTCTATGTAAATAAACTGGAAAAGACTTGAGGATACAGCTGTACATATATCATCAAAGGGTAAGTTCATTCAACAAGAACCTATACTGTACATTTGTACAGTTCTCTGCTACCATTGCAAAAGCCCCTCTGAACAAAGTTGTGGTTAGAATTTAAAACAATCTGGATGAAATAAAATGTACCAAGTAGCTTTTCTGTAGCAGAAATGAATTATATCCATTTTCCTCAAGCAAATTTAAGACAAGCAAAGCTAAAAATAAATATGCAAGCATATAGTAAACTAAAGTCTATTCCTTAGAAGAAATTCAAGTACAAAACAGCAGAGCCTATGACTATATAAGATAAATTAAAAATACTAGCAATGAAGCAGTAATTTATGTAATAGCAGGAAACAAGTTCTCTAATACCATTACTTAGATCATTTAGCATTTATCTACTTTGAAGTTTAAAACAAATTCCCTTTGCTAATTAAAACATTTGACCAATATACCAACATATTGCATGAAATAAATGACCATTTAATTCCTCATGACTTCATTTAATTCCTGATGACTTCAGTTTTGTATAAGTGAAAGGTTCAAGACCCTGTGTAGATTTGCTCAAAATTCCTGCTGGTATTTATGAAAGCTAAAGGTGATATTCTTATCGAATTGTTAATCATATTATTAATGTAATATTTGTAGTGGTTTATATAAGCCTCAGGTTTCAGAGTAATCTGTTCAAGTTCTCAGAGATACTATGTTGAATGACTTACTGGAGAACATGACCCCATTGCCCTTTCTTCCTCCCTTTGGGAGGTGGAGGAAGAATGGACAAATTTCCAGACTTGAAGTGTAAAGAAAATTGTTTTTTTTTTTTTTCAGGATTAAGGTATAATCCTCAGTTATAAGGAATGCCAAATACATGTGAATTGTTAAATTTTCATGAAGCTAAACATGAAACAAAAATCTAGGTATGTAACTTTGAGAATGAATGAGACAGGATGACAAATGTTAGTAAGATATGACACATTTGCCATCCATAATCAAAAACTTCAATTCCCTACCTGAAATTGATTTGAAAAATGGTGTGAAGTCTACAGTTGTGTTGAAGGACTGTAAGATATTTTTAAAAGCCTATGTAAATCATAGAAAGCACTTATATTTTATATTCAAAACTGATGTATGGAGCCCATTTCATTCAATTTAAAAGTCAGTCCTTACATATTTGTGATTGCTTTTATTGTATTTTTAAAAGGGAGAACTACTGATACTTTAAGACATCCTAAAAAGATTCTTTTTATATCTTGGATGCTTTTAGGTAATTTTTAAATACTTAATATTTGTTCCTCCTTAATCTGAAACTCTTCCAACATAGCTTCTGAACGGCTAAGAAATACTCCTTAGGCACTGTTAGGTGAATTAACAATGAAGTAAGAACCCAAGTTGAAATATACAATTTGACCTTAACGACTTAACAGAACAGCTAACAAGCACTGTCTTATCCACTGACAGCAAGAAATGCCTTTATCCCACCACTCCTGAGATTCTTAAGAGGGAAAACTAATTTTACAACCTTGAAAAAAAATCCATAGATAATTATAAGAACTGCACATATTTAAGGTATTAGAAAAGATGTTTTCTTTTGTAAGGCATCAATGATTAAATGAATACAATGCATATCTAACAAAAGATGATTAATATTATCATAAAACCATTTATCTTTTCTTTTAAACTTCTCAAATTCCTGCTACTTTTGCCAGCTTAAATAAGAAACAAAATGCCTCTTGGCCTAAACAACTATGGTTTTAAAAAACTAAGACATCTGAAACTATTAGGCACATCAAAGGTACAGTTTATGTAGTTCAAGGTTCCCTTTGTAAGGGGCATGAGTTACCTGGCACGTTGTACATATGGAACTGTAAAGATCATCTACTAAATTCAACTTTCACATTTTTAGTCAAACTGAAAGACTTATAGTAAATATTCAAACATACCATATTTTCAGTTACAACTGAATAAGAGTAACATTTTACCAGATAAAAACCTGGAATTTGAGTATGAGAAACCTTCATACACTGTGCTAGTATTGGTCTCTTCTTTTTAGATGAAAGCCAGTCGTCAATACTTTCAACACAGCAGTTTAGAAGATAAACGTCCAAAACAGGTGACTTGGTTGTAGTCCATAATTTAGCAATTCAATGCCACTGGCATCATAATGCTGTGGAGAGCAAGTATATCTCCATATTTTAGTCAGATTTGTCTTTCTTCTTTCCTGTTAAGGGCACTTTGTTTACAACAGCAGACCCAACAGCTGTAACACCTCCAGCCACAGCAGAAACACCCCCTTTCACCAGCCCTATTCCCATGGAAGGCACAGTTGTAACAGCTGTTTTGGTCACCTCCAGACTTTTTCCACCAATCCAAGCTACACCACCGATGGTGGCACCAACAGCTCCCTTTGTAACATTGAAGATACCCCCAGTCACACGGGACAACATGCCTGGTTGCTGCTGTGGATGATCTTTCATTGAACCTAATGAGAGAAAATATAATCAAATATAAATCTTTATAAGAGCAGTACAAAAGTCATTGAAAAGTCTCCCTCACAATCAAAAAGTTGATTTGAGAAGCCAACCAGTTGATTGATTGAAAGACATTGAGGAGTTCTTGCCTCAAGGGTATAGTTTTGTATACATATGCTGGTCCAAAACTAAGTTTTAATACCTATGAAAAGAAATGATTTAGAGACTAGGCAACTTTCATAAAACAATCCTATTTTAAAAGATCTAATTTTACATGCTTCCTTGATTTATAGTTTTGTTAAGAAATAATCTTTAAAAAAAAAAAGAAAATCTTTTTTTAAATATCCCAAAACCATGAAAAAAAATAAAGATAAAATATTTACATAGCCTTCAATTTCCTTGACAGGATTCAATCACTACTGAAACAATCTTCATATAAAGCAGAGGTTCTCAAAATACAGCCCAGGAGTCCTGGGGAACCCTGAGGCCATTTCAGGAGATACCCACAGATGAAAACTACTTTCAGGCTGAAGTTGTGGCTCAGTAGTAGAGTGCTTGCTTAGCAAGTGTGAGGCTCTGGGTTCAATCCTCAGCACCACATAAAAATAAATTTAAAGAAAGGTATTGTGTTCATCTACAACTTTAAATTAAAAAAAAAAAAACCTACTTTCATAGTAATATTAACATGTCATTGACTTTACACTTTCATTGTGTCACAAGTTTACAACAGTTTTCCAGATAAAGTTTACAACAGTATTCCAGCTAAATACCACAACTGAATGAAGCAATAACTCCAAAATGCAGCTGTCACCCATTAACCCAAACATTAAAGATACTTGCAAAAACGTATAAACAGTGTCACCCTGCTCATGATATTTTTTTGTTTTAGGAAAGAGTCACTTTTCATAAGAACATGATAACCAGGTTAACATGTAATATGTGTACTGGGTTCTTTTGGTGAATAAAATTCAAATTCAATTTTTACTAAACACAAGCCATCTGGGCCCCAATTTTTTGAGAAGTTTTTTGATATCAAAAAGCTGAAAATCACTGATTTAAATATATTTGGGTCTCTGCTCTGTTGTGTCCCTTAATGATATACTTAAACAACTAATGCTGTGTAAAAACAGAAAAACAAAACTATTCATAATTTAAAATTGTTACCTAAAATGATTTTTATTTAGATGTAAGTAAAATATACACTATAGCCATTGTTAATATTTATATCACTTCCTCAGTGATTCTTATGGGAAAAAAGTCTGCACTTTAAACATCTCATTAAAAAAATATTGTTTTAGATACCCCAGAAAAGTAATATCAATATAAGAAATTTAGCTCTTTCTAAGTCATCAGTTAATTTTCTTTGGTTGGTTGGTTGAAGGTTGTTTTTTTTTTTTTTTAAATAGAGCCATAAAAATTAGATGTAACTTCAAACTTATATAGGAAGATTTCATAAAAGCTTCATCGTACCAGCTTCTAATGAACACAGGTCTTTTCTCCTTTGTCACCTAATAATTTAAGCAACAATGCCACATCATCAATGGTGTTTTTCTAAACTTCATGGGAAGTTTGTAATTCAGATTTTACCTACTGAAAAAGTATAATCTCGCACAAATAAAGATAAATTCTTGGGTACACAGGACAACATTATACCATAAGTTGGGAAAATCTCAGTCATTAATCAAAATAGTGTTTAGGTATGGATAAAGCAATGGCTAAATTTTAAAAAAATGTGTTTATTAAGTCGAGGAGTTGGGGATGTAGCTCAGTGACCTAGCACTTGCCTAACATGTACAAGGTCCTGAATTCAATCCCTAGCACCACAAAAGGAGAAACAAATAGTAAACATAATTTATACAATTTTTGAATGGCTGAAATAAAACGCTTATGATATAGATGAGCATTTTAATATGTTAATTATAAAATCATGATGGAAAAGATTACATAATTGGTAATTCTTTTGTAATTAAAGTCAAAAACATTAGGAAGAGAGGCAATATCCTGATTTAAGGATAACATAGATGATTGAATCATGCCAAATACCTCATTAACAAAATTATCTTACTTTGCCAAATTTAATGAAGACAAATAATTTTTTCTTACCAAATAAGATAAATATTGATATTCTCTTCAATTACTCTGTACTCTTAATTGCCACCACACAAATTATCTGCTTTGCAGTTACCCTTGTTAAACAGCTGACATTTAAATATATTCCTGAGGCTCTGTTCTCTTCCTTGTCATCCTCCTGGATGCCTTTATCCTTTTCCTGAATTCTTTCCATAAAGTCCTTTTAATTTTCTCTTGAGACCTAACTTTTCAAAACCCTATCGTTCTAGTCCTAAAAAATAAAGCAAGGAAAAGAGCTAATAATTTTCCAGGATATTCTTCCACCAAGCAAACTAAACTAAATTAAACCAAATTAGCTAGTTCTTCCATCTTTTTTTAGACTTAAGAGCAAGCTTTTCATTGTGTTATTTTCCTAGCAATTTCGTTTTTATCTACCAATATATGAAAAAAAATTTTGAACAGTGGATAACATAACTGGGAAGAAAATATAATACCTAGAGTCAGGACTTCCAGCCCTAGCAATTAATATGCAATCCTCCAAGATCATTATTTATATTAAGTTTAATAACATTCTATGCCAAAACTATAAATTAAAAATGCCTGTAGTTCATTTTCTGTATGGAATGAGGACAATCCAGGGGGTAGTTATTATTTCCAAGGCTTTTGGAAGTAAAGAAATAAAAATGTTTCATGATGTCATAATTTTCAAACTATAAGAGAATTATGATTCAGAAAGACATTAAAAGACCCTATAACCATGTATTTATTAATATAGGAAGAGAGAGCTACCACTTATAATACAATGGATAACCGGAGTTTAACAACAAATCTCAAATGCTTCTTAAATTAAGCTGATCTTTTTGTATACAGGACATCAAAAATAAACAGTTTATGAAAAGATGTTCTTCCTTGTGAAATGGTCTTTAAAATGTGACAGGAAAATAAGCCTTACATGATAAAATTAAATTGTGTCTCAAGAAAAAAAAGTTAAATTGTGTCTCCACTCACCAATATCTGTGCTTCTTAATTAAAAAGTACAAGTGTTTATGTTCTATTACTTTTAAAACATATTACTGAGTAGGTAAACAAGCTATAATTCTATAAATTTAATAAAATCAATCAAACTTTCATTCACTCGTATATTCTTTCCGTCCTTCATGTTGTAACTGTATACTTGCCTTCTGGTGGTTCATCACTAAGGTATGATGGGATTTCTTGATTTTTATCTGCTTGATTCATAGCTCCTAGAAAAACCATACAAACATTTCATTTTAAGATCAGACTACTACTATTCTCATGCTAAATTAAGACTTTATTTAGACAAATGCTCATCACAAGACTACTTCATTTTGTCTCTTTTCTATTTCAAATTGCAGTATTTAAGAAATACCTTAAATGACACCAGTGGACAAAATATATCTTATCTGAAACACTAAACAGTGGCAGTCATAGTATCAGCTTTCCTAGTGTTGGTAATATGAGGCTTCAACTTGTGATAATTACCAATTAAAAAGAGTTGGAAGGTGGGGGTTGGGGAAAAAAAGAAGCATATATCTTTTATACAGATGACACCCTCAATCTGAATCAGTAAAAGATTTTGATGACTTTTTTGTTCTTGTTCTCAGAGCACTGATTAAAAAAAAAAGTAACAATTCAAAATCTTTTATGAAAAAACATACAATTTTAAAAACATAATTATTTAAAAGTAGTTAAGAGAACCTAGGAAACAAAAATAAACTATGTTGGGATGAAAAAAACATGATTAAAATTTATTTTCCCATTCTCCTTTACTATCTTAAGATACCTGCTTTTAAATTCACATGACTAAGTAAAGACCCAGACAGTCAAGATTGGTCTAAAAGTGTTTTTTATGACATACTGTCTTAGACACACACACATATACACAAAAACAAAAAACTCTGGTTCTGTGATTCCAGTGTCTACTGTGACTTCTCAGCTCTACATCTTTAGAGCCTAAATCACTCTGTCTGTACATATACAACAGATATTTTAAAAGGACATCAAACAATGTACTTTAGTATTAATATATTAATTAATTTTAAAAATAGTGATTGAACTGGGCTAAGCAATGTTTTAGCACGAGGTATAGCAGTGATCAATAAAGACCAAATACCTGCCATCATGAAAAGTCACTCCAGTTGAGGAAGATAATATATCAACACTATACTGCTTGTCAACCAGTGTTAAATGCTATAGAGAAAAAAGGGTAGGATGGGGAAGAAAAGTGATCTTTTAAATAGGGTAAACTATGAAGGCAAAGGAGGTAAAGATATCAGATATTTAGGTGAAGAGTCAAGGTAGAAGAAACAGCAAGAGGAAAGTATGGCAAGGACAACATCCAAGAAGCATAGGAGAGGAAGTCAAAGAGCTCCTAAGGATCACACAGGCCCTAGCAGGGATTGATGCAGATTGGCTTTTAAACTGAGGGAAATGGGAAGCCAGTAGAACGGTTTGATCAGAGGAACAAGATGTTCTGATTTATATTCTTAAAAGATCATACTGGCTGCTGTGGAAATAACAAACAATAGGAGAACAACCTATTAGAAGACTATTTCAATAATCTGGGCAAAAAATGTTGGTGGCTTGGTGTGGTCCAAGCTGAGATTGTTGGGAAGTACAGGATTTTCAAAGGTAATTGTAATTTCATGCAATTCATCTTGCTATGCCTTTAAAATCTAAATCCTATGTAAGAGGGAGCTTCACAGCACCCTAGAATCCAACAGCAAATGTTGTGTGTGTGTGTGTGTGTGTGTATTTTTTGCTGTAGTGAAAATCCTGACTCAGGCCATTTATCAATACCATCTAATCTTATCCTGGTCTGTTTTTTAATTCAGTACATATGTACTTTAAGTTTAAAATCCCCCCATATGATTTTAAGATTAAAAAAAGAAAGCATGTGATCTTTTTCTAAAAAAGCCAAGAATATCAGCTGTTGCATTACTAGAAGAGGTTCATGACTAATTTGCCTTAATTTTTAAAAACCCTCAAACTATAAAGTTACATGTATTTCTATTCATATTTGTATTTTCTTTGATTTATCATCATAGCAAAATCATTAAAAATTATACACATAGTGGTTACAACTCTGGTTTCAGAAATTCTAAGTTTGAATCCCAACTTGATCATAAACTATATGGCATGGGAAAATAAGATCATTAGATTCTTGATTTTTAAGACATATAAAATAAAAAATGAAGATATTCTAGCCCTAACAAGATGAAAAATGCTATTTAACAAATTCTAAACATGCAGAAATTTCTGGCAGAATATGTGTGTTCTTCCTGTGAAACATTACTATGTTAGATCACTTTCTTCCCTGCTGGGCTGTTAATTTCAAGAGGACGAACATCTTTAACTTGTTCACCATTGTAATCCCAGTATATTATAATACACACACACACACACACACAAAAAGCCACAAGATCACTTGATTAATCGCTTATCTGATTAACAGAAGTTACAATACCCTATATACAAATATGGGGAAAATTATATGCACTCATATATTTTAACTAGAGTTTAAAAATAGGTAGGATTAGAATAGTAACTACATTTCAAAAGCACCTTTCTGATCCCTAGTCATAAATCCCTACTAACAGTCTTACCTTTTCTTACTGACACAAAATCCTTACAATATTCTTTCTTTTTCTAAACTTTACCTATCTTATAACTAAAAAATGAAAAAGACTACCATTTAAAAATTAGAGCTACTTTATACTATGACAGCATAAAACATGCAACGTAGTCTAAACAATACGAACTGCCTTCATCTTTCTGTAGGTAGGCAAGGAAGAGACTTGAATAAAGTTAACTGTCAGATGTATGCTTTAAGAGGCTAACTAAAGGGCCAGGGCTGTGGCTTAGTGGTAGAGCGCTTGCCTAACATGTGTGAGGCACTGGGATCGATCCCTGGCACCACATAAAAATAAAACAAATAAAATAAAGGTATTGTGTCCATCTACAACCAAAAATTTATATATATAAAAGCAGCAGCTAGATAAAGCAAGAACAGATGGAAGGACAGAGAAATTAAACACAGTAAGTGGCTACTGTACTAGTACAGTCTCAACTGTTTTTCCTGTCTAAACAAACACTTGGACAAAAAATCTAGAAGTCACCCTTCATCTTTTTTTACATTCTCACCTGAAAATCAATTAATTATGTTAGGTAAATAAATCCAGAATATAACCACTTCCCACCACCTCTTCCTAACATCATTTTAGTCTAAACCATCTTAATCTTTTATGATATTACAAAATCTCTGAACTGGTTTCCAAGCTTTGCTCCCCCTTTAATTAAGCTATGCATTACTCTTAAACCCCCCTGCTTCCTAGATTGCTCAAAATAAAATCCAGAGTATTTAAACCTTGGCTTTTGAGGCCAGACATCTAACCCTCATTTCTACTCTGATATCTCCTACCATTCTACCTCTTGCTTGTTCTGCTCCAGTAAGACAAGACTTCCTTATTTAGGCTCTTTCTCAAATCTATACATGGCTTGCTTCCTTCCTTCCTTCAGGTCCTTGTGAAAATATCTCCTATAAGCCTTTCCCTGACCACCTTATAATAACCAAGCATCTCTCCTACTCTATCATTTTGAGTAACCCTGCTCTATATTCTTCATAGCTTTGTCAATAAATGTATCCTCTTTGTGTCTCTCCCAATTAGAAGGTTAGTTCTGTGAGAACAAGGGCTTGGTTTTGTTCACTACTTCAACTCCAGAGCCTTAAATACTTTTAAGTTTTATTGTGTGAAGCAGAATATAACTTTGGGCTGTAGCTCGGTGGTAGAGCATTTGCCTAGCATGTGTAAGGCAATGGGTTCAATCCTCAGCACCACATAAAAATAAATAAGATAAAAGTATTGTGCTCCTCTACAACTAAAAAAAATTAAAAAGATGAAGAATCTAGGATGTTAAATTTCTAGTGTAATCAATTACATAGACATAGATGGTGATGAAGACAGAAGATATTAGAAAAGAAACCACCATAGGAGAAGACAAGAGTTCTGAACAAGCTATATTTGAGATGCTTTCAAGGCATCCATAGCAGATGTTCAACAGGCAAATGGATTTAAGGGACCAGAGACTTAAGAAGTCTAAGTTAGAGCTGAGGTTCTTAGAGTGGTTTGAAGTGATGGCTGAAGCTGTGGTGTGTGGATAACATGAATGAGGAAAAGAGTAATAAGAAGTAGACTGATAACCTTAAACTGATCATGTTTCAAAGAGAAGCCAGCAAAAACAACCCAAATGACCTGCAAATGCACAGTCAAATGAGTACAGCTTTGTGGAAGGCAAGAGAGGAATTTTAAGCTTCCTAAAGACATATACACTGCAGACAAAAATAATTTATGAAGAGTGTATATTACAGGAAAATGCTAATATTATATTTAGAAGCTAGCATAAAAGGTATATTTCATATGATCTAATTATTTTAAAAATCCGTATGAAAAGACAGGAAAGAAGCACACCAAGCTGTTAACAAAGACTGCAATTAAAGGATAGGAAAATACCTACAAAGTATTTATAGTTTATTAGTACCATGTAGTAAACATATATATAATATTTATAGCATATAAATTTACATACATTTATGGTGTATATGTAGTATTTATATACTTAGCATGCATATATAGTATTTATATATATAAATACTGCACACATTACCTTTTTTTTTGGGGGGGGGGGGTACCAGGACTTGAACTCAGGGGCACTCAACCACTGGGCCGCATGCCCAGCCATATTTTATTTAGAGACAGAATTTCACTGAGTTGCTAAGCACCTCGCCTTGCTGAGGCTGGCTTTGAACTTGCAATCCTCCTGCCTCCGTTTACTAAGCCGCTGGGATTACAGGCGTGTGTCACCTGCCCAGCCACTATTTCCATATGTACACATACATAGATATGTATGTAGTTAGCATCTTTGTTTTGATTTTTAATGTTTTATATCAATAAGTATTATTTTTGTAATTAAAGAAAAAATATTTTTAAGTCTCAGAAATCAACAATGTTCATAAATAATATTTTAAAGTTCATCTAGTTCTAGTTATTTTAGGTTTTCATCTACAGATGAAGTTAGTCGTCTAAAAAATAATATTCTTAAATCATGTGATTCTTTAAGAAAATGACACTACTGTGTTTTGTTCAATTATGCTCTTGTTAAGAAAACCCTGACATGGCTTAGGTTGTGACTCAGCGGTAGAGCGCTTGCCTAGCATGTGCAAGGCCCTGGGTTCGATCCTCAGCACCACATAAAAATAAATAAATAAAGGTATTGTGTCCAACTACAACTAAAAAAATAAATATTAAAAAAAGAAAACCCTAACAAATAGCCTTATCCAAGCTATTACTATATTAACAGTCCAATATTGTTAAGGATATTACCCACTATATCACTTGATAGCTCTGACATGGAACTCTACATAAGAACTTCCTTAGAGGTAATTATTCAGAAAATTCCTCATTTCACCTAAATATTCAACATGTTTTCTTTGAAATCTGTGTATTTTCTTACTTAAAAGACACAAAGATATGTCATCTCCCTTCTCCCTTTGATTTTTAGGAAGCTTACAGCTAAAATCCTAGCTCCACTAAGTAGGCTCCTGTGGTCCAGCTGTATCCTGTCTTCTGCTCCCCTATTCCTCCATAATCTCCAAGCACCCCTCTCTGGTTGCTATTTTCCCTGGTTTGCAAACTTATTCATATTTTTACCATTTTGTTAGTACTCTTTTTGCTGTAAGCTGCTACAGAGTACTTATGGAATAAGTTGGATAAAAACAAACCACTTATATCCACATTAATTTTAAGCATCACAAGAAAATACGCCTATCAACTTAGGGCCCAACCCTAGTTTAAGCTAGGGTTGTGCTTTTCAAATTTATGTTTTTATAAGTAGGTAAAGCTAGGGGCTCCAAGAAACCACAGGAAAAACATGATACATGCATTTTACTCCATAGTAATTTCAGTTTAAAAAAAAAAATTTTGTAGTTGTAGATGGACAGCATACATTTACTTTATTATTTTTTTTTTTTTTAATGCAGTGCTGAGGATCGAACCCAGGGCCTCACACATGCTAGGCAAGTGCTCTGCCACTGAGCTACAGCCCTAGCACCTGGTTATTCTGTTTTTTATTTTTTTAATACACAGTAAAATTAAAAGTACTTGGGAATTTTCTTTTTCTTAAAATAAACAGGCTTTCAAATAATTTCATTATTGCCCAGGGCTGCTTTAAAGCGCACTTTCAGATTTGCCAACACTCCCTGCCAGCCCAACAGAATTTCTACTCCCACAATGTGTTCAGTCTGCCCTTGGATTAGGAGTATTTCTAATCTAAAATGCAGAAAATTAGATACTATTAAACAAACATTCACAGCTACATTTAAAATTATTAGCAAGGGCTGGGGTTGTAGCTCAGTGGTAGAGCACTTGCCGGGCATGTGTGAGGTTCGATCCTCAGCACCACATAAAAAATAAATGAATAAAAATAAAGGTATTGTGTCCATCTACAACTGAAAAATAATTTAAGACCATTAAAATTATTACCAAGAATTACCAATAGGATTATCAATAAACAATAAAAATATATCAGGAGCCTTGCCAAGCCAAGCATAGGTCTAACTAGACAACAGAGAGACTTGGTATAAGAGGTCATATAGCCTGGCTTTTGTTTTTGTTTTAATGTCTGAGTTTCTTGTACATCACAGATCTTTTTTGGGGGATGAGGGGGTGAGGCGTGAGGGTAGGGAGTGCCAAGGATTGAATCCAGAGTCACTCTACCACTGAGCTACCCCATCCCTTTTATGAGACAAGGTCTCACCGAGAGACTGGCCCAAAACTTGTGATCCTCCAGCCTCAGTCTCCCAAGTCACTAGGATGACAGGGATGTGCCACCCTATCTGATCCTTCGCTGGTCTTAGTAGCAAGTATGTGGCATTAAAATTCCTCCTGAACTTCTACGGTACTAAAAATTGCGTAAAAGACACAGCTATTTGGGATTTTTCCTCTGCATTTCATATTGTTTGATAAAACAGAATTCTTATAAAGGTATTTGCTAAAATCCTTAATTATCTATAATATCATTTGTACTTTTCATATATAAACTATGCCTAACCTCTACCCACATATATGTGCCAAACTTTTAGAGCTGTTAACTCTTTATGGACAGCACCACTTTCTACTAAGAAAAAATATTTTTTATACAGTTGTGCCCCTTTATCCATTTGGGATATGTTGTTAACACCCCAATGGATATCTGAAGCCACAGATAATAACAAACCCTATATATAATACATTTTTCTCCTATTTATACATACATTTCTATGATAAAGCTTAATTTATATTCTAGGAACAGTAATAGATTAACAACAGTAAAATAATGTGTTATAAATACCTTAATAGAATACATAATAAATAAGTAAAATAATAAAATTATGTTAATATGCCATCTATTAAAATATCTTATTGTACTTTCACCTGTTCACTTAAAGGAAACACTTTCCAGCTTCTATTTAGCATATGTGAATTGCCAGCATTACTACTGTTGTGCTTTGAGCCATTATTAAGGAAAATAAAATATTACTTGAATACAAGCACTATGATAATTAATGGGATAACCCAGAAGTCTATTAAGTACTTAAAAGGTGGTAGCACATACGGCATGAATACAGTGAACAAAGAGATGATTCATGTCCCAGGCAGGACGGAGTGGGACAGTGCATGATCTCATCATACTACTCAGAACAGTGTGCAATTTTAAAATTTATGAATGTTTTATTTCTGGAATTTTCCATTTAATATTTTTGGACCATGGTTAGCCACAGATAACACAGGTAAACTGGAGAAAGTAAAACTCATGGATAAAAGGGTCTTACACATTACCCTTCTGCTTATTATCACCATTACAAGAAACCTGTTTTCTTATATTGGGAATTGTGAACACAAACATACCCCTAATCTCTTAAAAAAAAGAATCTGCTAATAAAATTTTAAAGTATACATGTGGAATAAGTACCAACTAACAGTAAAAGTATAAAAATGATGATTTCAAAATTTTACCCTTGCTAGTGTGATGGCCCAGGCCTGTAATCCCAGAGGCTCAGGAGGCTGAGGCAGGAGGATCCAGAGTTCAAAGAGAGCATCAGCAAAAGTGAGGCGCTAAACAAGTCAGTAAGACCCTGTCTCTAAATAAAATACAAAATAGGGCTGGGGATGTGGCTCAGTGGTCGAGTGCCCCTGAGTTCAATTCCCAATACCCACCACCCCCCCAAAAAAATGTTACCCTTAAATGATACAATCAACAAAATCATTAAATTCTATATAAACCCTGACCTAAACTTACTGAATCATTAATTCAACATGTATTTGAGCCCTCCTCCTATGTGGCAAGTATCCTGTTACACATTTAAAGCCTCAATTTGATTAAGTAAATACAGAAATTACTGTGAGCCAAAGTTTACAATCAAAATGAAATACATGCCCTGCCCGGCACCTACCAGTTTAGTGAACCATTCATTCAAGAAACAAAATGTATCTGCTCTCTAGAAGCCCATAATGCACCCAAGTTTCTATTAAAAAAAAAAAAAAAAAAAAAACTTTCCTAAAGAAGGTATAATGACAGATTAACAGCCTTTAGATCTGGATAAAGATGTAACTGATTCTAAGGACATAAATCAATTCCATCTTTTGGTTCTAACACATGACAAACTATTATACTACCAACTAAAACTGATTATAAGTGGATTTTTAAGAAACTGAAATGTGAAAGATCTCTGACAGCAAATTCATTAGCGGTTACTTTAAGCAGGAAGAATGGATAATTCTTGTCCCATACAACAGTATCATAGATACAACAGCTGGCAAAAATATTAAGCAAAGATTAATAACAGCACTATTCCCTAGAGAGTAATTTATTCCAATAATAGAAATAAGTAAACAAATGCCCCTTGGAAAGCTTCTTTTAGTTTTTTAAAAGGAAAATAGATGAATCAATGTTTTGTGGGTTTCAGAAACATCTTGTAAATTTAAACTTTTTGTTCATAATGAAAACAGTATACAAATTTGTCTATGAGTACCACTCCTCTAACATGCCAAGGAAGTTAAATCACACTAACCTTTTGTGTAATGTTCAAACACAAAAATACAGTGCACAACAGTTTACCTTAGAAGTCACTTTCAAATGTTATTAAACAATAAGTGCTGATTTTCCTATATATGAAAAAGAGACTGTAAACAAATTAGCTAAGTTCTTCTACATGTATGTATATAGAGAGGAACTCTGCCATATCCTCACTCCCATGTTTTAGTTTCTCTGCCAAATAAATGCAAGGAGACTCATACACATATACCAAGTCATGTACATTAAACAGTTTAGTAGTTTTTAAACTTATTTAGTTAACCAACTATTCTGAACATTATGCTTACAGAGGTGGTCCCTACCCCTTAATCAACAATAAATAAGACCACAAGAAATGCATTCAGTCTAGCAAAAAAGAAAAAGTAATGTCAATAAAACTTTACAAGTGTACACACAGTAACATGTAACAACTGACAGTGTCAAAACAGCACTGTCCATTAAGTTTTGTCCTTAAATGAATCATTAAATAGAACTGCAATACTCTTGTCAAACAAGACAACCAACACATCATCATCTACTCCAATTTACATTCATCAATTCAACAGATATTTGCATCCCTAACTGAGTCGAACACTTAGTCGCTGAACAAGAATACAAAGGCTCTACTCTTAAGGTGTTTATATATAAACCAGGCAGATTCCTCAGGAAGTAGGAAAAGAGCAAATACTGAATACATGAAACAAAGAAAGTAGATTTTCCTGAGTTAAAACACACACACAGACACACACACACACACACACACACACACACACCTGCATATGTATTTGCCTAAAGTATTAAACTTTTCTAATGATGCTGTCTATGGAAACATTTTCCCTCGGTTTCTGGTATTTTTGTTATAACAATGACCTAAGCAACGAAAACTGGAAAAAGCAAAACAGGATGCATACGGATTTATTAAAGTTACTTCTCCCTTTCTTTTTAAAAAGCAGGCATGGGAACACACCCACGTACATGTTGGTCTGATTATCAGTATTCCTGGGCAGTCTTTAAGAGCGCCCATACCAGTGCAAGTTTTAAAGGTTAAACAAGAATATATATAAATAATCACAGTACCTAAAGTATTTTCATTTGGAATTGGCACAGCGTTCACAAGGACTCAATAAATTAAAAAAGAACCAACCTCTTCTCTAGGTGTTTCTAACACTTCCCGGCAGTCCCTTCTCCCATTGATCCCTCTAGGCACTTAGCAATTTTTTTTTTCTTTAGCAGAGAGAGTGACGTGGCAGGAGGCAGAAAATGACCCTGGAGGCGCCCTGGCTAGGGCTAAGCTCAGCACCTCCTTCCTTGCCTTCACTCTGTACACCCAGAACACCCCCGCTCCAGTAGGGTTCCAGAATTTCTGTGTAAAACGGGTTTAGGAGTGAAGCTGTGACTGGAAGTGTGAGCCTGGGGGCTAATCTTAAAGCTGGGCGTGCATGGCAGGGACAGTTGACTGGGGTCAACAGGGACAGCACTGATGGGTGCCCCAGAGCACCCCAAGTCCTCCTCGGCGCCGCCAGCGCCCCTCTCCATTCCCACACTTGGAGGTACAGGTTAGGCGAGGCTAGGCGGGGGAGTGGAGCCTCCCACCTGGGAAGAGCACTGGGAAGGTCCAAGTACAAGAAGCCAAGCCCTATGAACTTGAACCCAAGAGGGTCGTTTATCAACAGGTCGGGAGGAAGCCGGGCGAGGGCGCACAGCACAAGACCCTCAGCCGCGTCCCTCTCCAGGCTGCGGTCGCCCCCGCCCCCACCCTGACACCCAGGACGTTACGAAGTCGGGGGAGTCCCCAACCTCCAACCGCGGCCCGGGAGTCAGAAATACAAAAGCCGAGGAACCCCGCCAAGGAACCTCCACCAGCCCCCAACTTCGTCCCGCCCCTCCCCCTTCCCCCTCAGTCACCCCGAAAGGCCCGGCTCGGGGAGGCCCGGCCCGGAGGCAGGAGGAGGTGTAGGGGAGCTAACGGAAGAAGGGAGAGCGAGGAGGGCAGGAAGCCGGGCGGCGCCCCCCGCCCCACAGCCGACTTACCGCCGGGGTCGGGGCCGGCGCCTGGGGCTGGGGCCGGGCGGAGGGAGCGGGAGGCAGCGGGGAGGGCTGAGGTGGCCTGGGCGGTAGCGGCGCCGGACACAGCCCTGGGCAGCTGCGGGCTCCGGAGGCTCCCCTCAAGCTGCGGAGCCTGAAGCCTCGGTCGGCGGCGGCGGCCTCTGGCTGCGGACGTGGCGCCCGACGCGACCCGCCCCCTCCGCAGCCTCCTCAGCTCCCGCCTCCTCCCGCGGCTCCGGCTCCGACGCGCACGCGCGCACGCGCACCAGCGGCCCCTCCCGCGCCCACCCGTTTCTCGAACTGCCGCCCTTCCAGCAGCCCCCAGCCAGTCACTTCTCGACGTGCGCAGGCGCGGTGCCACGGTGCTGCTCCCGCCCTTCGCCCCCGGGTGCCTCCGCGGGAACCCCCGCAGGACTGCGCGCGCCTCATCCTGGGGTCTCCCCGCCCCCTTTCCCCCACCGTCCAATCAGGTCGGACGAGGGGCGCGAAACCCGGAGACGCGCGGACCACGGCCTTCCGGCCCGACCTCCATCCTGGGTGGCCCCCAGAAGTCTCCGTTGCGCCGTCGAATAACGGTCCTCGGAATTTAGAACCTTCGCCACAGGGAAGGCAAGACGGTCGCCGCTTTCTCCGGTTCTTCTTCGCCCGGGGGCCTCAGCCTTTTTTCTTAAGCTGCTGCCCTCGAGGAGTGACTAGCTGGGCCTACTCAGCCGTCCACGTCGGGGCTCGCCTTTGTGACCAAGCGAAGGGGTGAGGAGAGACCTGGCTTGTTTGTGTTTCGAGGTTTCTTTTTCTCTTTCCTGCCCTCGAAGTGCCTGGGAGTACCGACCTGCCCGGTTCGTCCTCGCCGCCCAGCGCTCACTTAGTGCAAGGCCAGGCCTTGCCAGACGCTGGGAGAGGGTGAGTTGGAAATGAGAGCCCGGGGCGAAGGTTCAGCCTGCGGAGCAGCTGCAAGAGGATATGGTCGGTGCACTCCCACGTGGCCAGCCCTGCCTGCAGCTGAGCCATCTGTCATGTGCGGCTGGGCTTCCAAAGGAGGCTGCGGGTAGCCTCCCCAGGTTGTTTTTAGGACCAAAGAAGATAAGTGCTGTGTTTCTTTGGTCAACATCTATCCCATGAAGATGGCCATAAATCCATCATGCCTGTTTTGAGATCAGAAGAGGTGGCAGGTATGAAAGGGCTTTATAAACTGACATCTTACACAAATGTGCAAGTTTTCCTTTTATGATTTAATTAGCAAGTCAAAAAATACACATGGAAAAAAAAATATATATATATATATACAATAAAGAATATAAACATGAAACAAATGCTCACAATATTTTTTGAAATACAAAATAATCAGGGTGGTGCAACTGAGTAATAACTATTAACAAGGCTCAGGGGGAAAAAAGGCACACTAACCAAGAAATCATCCTGGAAGAAGCTAACTTTGATCTAGTCCTTTTTAAAAATGGACTAAATATAGTATATGGCATCAGCCTGCTTATTAATTCATCAAAACAATGAATTCAATCCATCTAGTTGACTGTGCTGAAGTTAACAAGACACTGTAGTTTTACAGAACTCAAAGGAGATTTTAAATCCTGCTCTTTAAATATGGTTAGAGGTTAGCAGTATCTGTGGGTTGTTGTGTTTACCCAGCATGTGAAGTTGTGGATACTTCCTCTATTTTCTTGTCACAGAAGTCTCAAATATATCTTTACATGTGACCTTTCAGGTTGGGACTCTAGGCAAAATCATGAAATGCATAATTACACTTTGTTTCTTCTTGTACTTCTTTCTATTATAGAATTTATTAAAGTAAAAATGACATATAAAACTAACCACTTCTGAGAGATTTTTCATTTTTAACAGTTATTTAAAGCTGTAGTTGAATCTATTTCATAAACCAACCAAGAGGTAGGGGAGCTCTTTTGAGAGTTCACCAGAACATTCTGAAACTGCGAATGAAGTTAGTCATGTATTTCTTGTAAGTCAGAGCCTAGTCATTTCTTATTGCCTATTTTCTCACCTTTAAAAGTGAATAGCATCACTCAGTGCCCATCCACTCCTGGGTTTAAAATGAAAATAATGGAATTTTGATGGAATGGCTTCCATAAAAGGATTCTATCTTGATTTGAGATACTTTGATGCAACAGAAGGAGACTCAAGGAAGGAAAGCAAGTCCTTCATTTAATATGCTGAACTCCACTTAATTGATTCCTATGCTGTGAAATCTCTTTCTTGGATTATTAAAATGAAACTTTGGCTATTGTTTTGAAGAATTTTGTAATGTCTTAAAATAATGGGTCTCTAGTGCTTTCTGACAAAAACTTATGTTTTAACAAAATAAATTATTACAGTATGTGTCATTCTACCCAGTCTCTTAATTGGCTGAGTATTCCCCTAGTTGGTTACACCCAGAGAGACATTGCCTTATTGAGCAACTGGAGAAATTAGATGTGACATTGCTTAACAAGGTGAGGTGATTCAAAAGGGCCAGAATGAAGCAAGCCAGAAACAAGAAATGTGAAAGCAAAAAAAGAAATTATATACCAATAGCACATTGAAGTTGAAAGAGATCCAATC